TCCCTGTATTTTAATAGTCATAACTGTTATTTAAAATGATATTCCTATATATGTATGTATATTTTCTCCCATTATAGCTTGTTTTTCTAATGGATATAAATTTTTATTGGACGTAAACCTACAAATTTTCAACTGGTTTTCTTGAACACAGTGAACACAGTGGCTAGCAAAAGAAAATCTATGGAAACATCTCATCTAGCCTCATAAGAAATAAAGCTGTCCAAAAGTTATACAATCAATATGTGTCTATGGGGGGGAGGGTTTGCATACAATTGCTATAACATCACTTAGGATGGAAGGATGAGCTGAAATTATGTTTAACGCATGTCTTGGTTATCAAGATCTGTCCTATAAAGGCAATCACATAACTATTTGTAAAATTATAAATAAATTTATTCAAATGTCTCCTGACTTTCTTTGCTTATGAGTACAAACAAAAGTTTGTATCACCCAGTAATGTCAGCATCACCCAGTTAGGTCAGCATCACCTCCTTGGGATGAAGGAAGCCCAATCTCCCTAAGAAGCCAGGCTTTTGAATCCTAGCCAATATTTATTTTTTTATAATTTATTTATTTATATATACATGTATGTATAAATGCATATATACATCATTGTTCATTTTTGTACAAAGTTTGCTTTCTCCCCTCAGGTGTAGTCCCTGTAAAATCCCCACCACCAATTCACCCATGCACCATCGCCATAGTCCCTTGTCCTCTTCCCTCCCGTTTTGATCCCTTTCCCTCCTCCTCCCCTGCAGAATGTCTTTGATTTATAGTTGCAAGTTAATTTTGGTTTTTTATTTATTGTTATTATTTTTTTCCTGATCCCTTATTTGGTTCCCCCATAACCCTCCTATAAGTGCAATATTTAAAGTGGAAAATTCAAATCATGGAAAATTAAATGAAAAATCAGGATGTCTGGGGGACTGGCAATGCCTAAATGTTTTTGAAAGAGGGCTGGTTGTGGGAAGTTCCTCTGACATAGACAATATTGCACTGCACATGAAAGTGTGAACTAAAATGAGCAGTTCCCTGGGAGCGACATGAGGCCTGGTCAAAGACCAGCTCCTATCGGTCCACCCCAGTCAGCGGCAGTGTGTCATATGTCAGATTGTGTACGTTCTATCTTCATGCACGAAACAAAGCAACCTCAAGAAGTAACAGCAATGTCACATCATCATAACTATCACCATCTCTAAGCTGGGATTTTAAACTTTGGGGGGGGAGGGAGTGACAAGAAGAAGCATTAGAAGTTATACTAGTGTGCCTTATGGGGGTTACCCACAGGAAAGTGCTGCAGATGATCAAAGTTAGACATTCACATAATAATTCAGGATATAAATATCATCACTGATAGCTCTTAAACTTTTGTAATCCTTGACTTTTCCTTCCTATGTATGTAAAATCCAGCGACTAACCAATCAAAAAGAAAATCTGAGAGCTGAAACTAAGCACCCACATGCACATGAAGACACACACACACACACACACACACAAACACACAGTCCTTTTTTTAACTTTACCACTTTTAGAAAAGCCAGAAAGTAGTAAAATGGGTGCATTTGATTTGATTAAGACTGCAATGTTTTAAGAGTGGAAATCATCAAAAAGTCTCAGTCCATTTAACAATACACACACACTCTCTCTCTCTCTCTCCTCAAAAAAAAAAAAAAAAAAAAAGCAGGCATTAAATGTCCAGAGTTATTTTTTATATATCATGTTTAAGAATAGACGCTACAGAAATGACAAGTTTGAAATTCTAAGTAGTGACTAGGGCCTCTATTTTATGACTCAGACTTTCTGTTCTTTTTAAGAGAGAAGAAGAGCAATACAACTTGGCTTATTTAGTTTTTCTCCAAACTTATCTGCTACTTATCTGCTAAGGTTACTATGAAGACTGAAGTTATGGAATGGTTAAAGCAATTGAAGACATGTTATTATCTTCAATTTATTGAAGAAATAATATATTATTTCTATTTTATATTCAATTTCTCTACTTGAAGAAATTGAAGATATATTATTTCTGTTTTATATTCAATTTCCTTTCTAGGGACCAGCCATTAACACATTTTCTTTTAGAGGTTATTTTTCAAATCCACCTGGATCATTCAATGTCTTCACTTGCCTTGGGGATAATTTGGGGAAATCCATTACAGGCATGTCATAAACCATAGGATTAAAAAAAATGCAGTCAGTCCCTTCAATGTCCTTCACTCTACTGCATTTTATTGTGTATTATAAATTTCCCATATTCAGCTTGTACTCTCTCCCTTAACTCCTCGATCCCACCTCACTCCCACACCCATCTGAAAGATAAAAATATGTGAATGCTGTCTTTGTCTACTCAGACTTTTAGAGAGTAATAGCAACAGCTTTGAGAAGCTTCCAGCATAATTAATCTAACCTGTGACATCATTTAACTCTCATGACTCACATTTGTGTATTAAGACTTTTAATACTTTCTCATTTGAGACTTACACAATCCAATGAGATAGATAGAAGAGGAATTGTTACTACTCCTGTTACACAATGGAGAAAATTGAGCCTCTCAGAGGCCAAAAGTTGTATCAAGCCTGCTAGGAAGTGGGAGGGCTGGCTTGCCTGACTCCCAGGTCTGTGTTGTTTTGACCATGCAGTTCTACTTCTTTCCAACTCTTATGTGATTTTCCACTTACCATGTTTCCAGCATATTCAATGTTTGTATTTTTCTCATAGAACATAAGTCAGATAGCAATAAAGAAAATTAAGTAGGGGATTTAGAGATCACTAGGCAGTAGATTCTGAACATAAGTACCTATTTAAATCTCTGTAAGATTGTACATAGTCTTTATATGAAATACCATATGTATACTGCTGACAAATATCATGTATAATCACGGCCCAAGAAACTTTTCTTAGATTCCATGGTGAAGGTCTGTTAATTTAAAAAATTTTTACTTTTACTGATGGTATTAGTGGATAAGAGTAATTTTAAATATCCTTGTAATTCCACAAATATGTTCTGATTTCACATTTTTTTGTATTTTGTGAGCTATTAAAAGAAAGAATTCAAGTCTTATTTGCTCTTATATTATTACATATAAACACAGTGCCTTGAATCTAAAAAGCAGTAGGTAAATATTTGATTTTATTGTTAAACATTTGAAAGATACCAGCAAGTGATTTAAGGAGACGAGGCACTATGTCTCTCAACAGAACTCTAAACTCTTCATTGTTGTTCTTTAATTTTTTTATTATATGGTTTATGGCTGATTTAATTTTTATTATATGGTTTATTTATGGTATTATATGATTTTTGGTTGGTTTATAACACTGTATATGGTAAAGAGTTATAGGTTCACATCTCTTCAGATGTGTGTTACCACACCATACCTACCACCAAATCACCCATAATCCTCCACTGGACCTTATCCTTCTTTGATATTCTCAATGCTACAGTCAAATTTCTAGGTTTATTTTGTTTAGTTTTAACTATTCCTTTGTTTTGTTTCTCTATATTCCACATGAATGAAATCATCTTTTTTCTTATTTCACTTAACACCCTGCAGCTCCAACCATGTTGCTGCAAATGGCAAGAATTCATCTTTTATTTATATCTGAGCTGTATTCCATTGAGTATATATATACCACATCTTCACAATCTACTCATATGACATTGGACATTTAGGTTGTTTTCATATCTTGGCTATTGTAAATAGTACTGCAATGAACATACATCCCTTTGAATTATTGTGGGGTTTTTTTTTTTTTTTTTGGTTTTTTCTTTTTTCGCATCTTTGGGAAGATCCCTAGGAGTCGAAATGCTGGATCATATAGTAGATCTATTTTTAATATTTGAGAAACCTCCTGTTTTCCATAGGGCCTGGACCAGTCTATATTCCCACCAAAAGTATATGAGCGTTGTTTTCTTTACAGTGAACACTTGTTGCTTCTGGTCTTTTTGATATGGGCCATTTTCACAGATGTGAAGTGGTATCTCATTGTGGTTTTGGTTTGCACTTCCCTGATGAGCATTTTTTCATGTTTCTGCTGGCCATCTGTATGTCTTCTTTGAAGAAGTGTCTATTTATCTTTTCTGACCATTTTTTGAATTGGGTTCTTTTTGTTGAGTTATTTGGGTTCTTTAATATCCCAGATGTACAAAGAACTCATTCCAGATAAATACATAGACGTGTTTTTTCCTATAATGATTTCCTGATAAACATTAAGGATAAGCATAAGCATTTGTTGATTAAACTAACCAATCACTATACCATGGTAATATGTGTGTGTGTGTGTGTGTAAAGAAGACTAGGGACGGCTTTGGATTTCACAAACACATGGGCATTTCTGTCTTATTCACTAGCATGATATCCCCTTCCTTTATTTTATGATAAAGCTATAATTCTTAAGTCAATTATGTTTGTTTAGCTTAGAATAAAAATAAAGAAAAAGTAATATTTTGTATATTTAATATATTGTGTGCAACATATTATAAAATACACACCTATATGTTTTATGTATTACACTGTGTGTTATATTTTATAATTACAATATGTACATATAACAGGTATATTCATATGTATATGTGTATATTTGTTCTCATTTTGAAAAGAAATATTAAAATGGCTGATTTAGTGAATATAGTTATTACTTCTTTTTATCTTAAGATCCATAAATATGTACAAATATTAGCGCAATATCTATAAATCCTGAAATACCAAGTATCATCTCTCAAAAAACTTTATACTAATTAGTAGTTTTCAATCAAAAGCATCAAAAATCACTCCTGATTAAGCAAAAGGGATATGTAAGAAGATATCAGGCAAAACACAAAATCTACAGGGAGACTAGAGAACCAAATCCAGAACCAGGACGGAGCCCAGAACACTGAAATTGCTTGCTTTTCTTTATAAGGTGCTGCTGTAATGAGTAAATGGACATCAATCATTGCTGCTACTTTGTATTCACCACTTCATTTGATATTCAGAAACCTGAGAAAGAGGACTCAATTGGCTTACCTTTAGTCATATGCTCACACTTCAGTTTAGGGTCAGGAAAGCCATGCAACACCAACCACATAACCTAGGGTTGGGGGAGAGGTGGAGTCTCAATGAAAGTGAAGATGTCACCTGGAATTGAGTTAATGCTGCTAGGTGGCCACCTGACATAACTTACAGGGTCCATCTCTGTTTTGCTGTCCTCACACTATACTTTCTTCTGAAACATCCCTATGTAATATAATGTTGCTCTTTTGCAAACACACACTCAACACTTCCCCAAAGGAAAATCATTTTAATTTTCACTATTTCTTTCACTTGTTTCCAAGTCCATGATTTCTTGTGAAAACATCCATTTCTCTAGTTTCATGACGACTTTACTTCAATGTGCAGTTTGTTATGAAGAAAATAAGTAAATTGAATCACTACCTAATATGGGCTTAATTATGTTCCTTCAAAATGAATATGTTGAAATGGTAACCTCCAGTATTTCAGAATGTGGTCTTATTTGGAAACAAGAATTTATAGAGGTAATCAAATATGAAGTCATTAGTATGGCCCCCTAATCCAATACGACTGGTATCCTTCTTGAAAGGGGAAATTTGGGTAGAGAGATACACATGGAGTGAAAACTTTGTGACAAACCATGAGGTGAATATGGTTACTTACAAACCAAGAGCAGAGACTTAGAACATATCCTCCCTGGCCTCCCCGGTGGTGCAGCGGTTGAGCGCTGGGTTGCGAACCTGCCCGCGGCCTCTGTGGCACCGGTTCGATCCCTGGCTGCTTCCCAGCCACTGGAGGAGGGTCCCATATGGCGCGCAGACCTCTCCTGCCGCCCGCTGCTCCCCCCAGCAGCGTACTTAGGTCCTTCTGCCCGCTCTGCTCCCTGCTCTGGCTCTGGTGATTCTCTCACCCTCCCGCGCTTCTGACTGTACCCAGTACATGTATAAACAAAACAAAACAAACAAATAAATAAATAAAACATGCCTCTATTAAAAAAAAAAAAAAAGAACAGATCCTCCCTCACAGTTCTGTTAGGACCAACCTAACCAACACTTTGATTTTGGACTTTGATCCTCCAGAACTATAGAGAATTCATTTGTGTTATTTAAACCTCCAGTCTGTGGGGCTTTGTTACCACAATCCAAGCAAATTAAGCTACCATAAGAGCACCTTTCATATTATAATAATAGGGGAAAAATAATTAAAATATATCATTTACATATATAACTATATAGGTGTGTGATAAAGCAAAGAAGGTGGATAAAGTAGAAGCTATTTATTCACTAACCTCTACCTTTAATGATAGCTGGGGGGGGGAGTTCCTTTAAATTTATTACTTTTGTGACAATTTTAGGCAAAGCAATTTTTTTATTGCAATATTTATACTTCTCTTGCTTTTAATCAGAACCACAATCAACGTGTCAATACACTTAACAGGAAGTTCAGTCTCTTTGGGGTCAAGCTCATAAAAATGTCAGTCTCTTCTGGTGATGCTTCATGAACTGGAGATATTCTTGATATGAGAATTGCTGATATTCATAAGTAAATAGGATACCTTATATATTAGTAAACAAAATGTTAGTGCAGGACAGGACACCCCAGGAACCTCAGACTTACACACTTCAAAAGGATCCAGCCAACAGTGAACACAAAGGCAAAGGAGACTTGTAGTGTGAAAGAACCTTAGTATGGTCATTGTGCATAGAGAGAGAAGAAAAGATAATAGTTTCATAATATAGCATCCAAATTTACCCATTCCCTTATGGGTAAATGCCTAGTCAAATAGAGTTGGACCAAAGCAGGGCCACTGAGGCCCAAAAGCTCACTACAAGTCTAAGGCACTTTCTGGTGGGGATCCCACAGGAAAGGGGCATGAGCCAGCAAGTCTGGCATGAAAAGAGAAAAATCAAAGTACAAATTAAGATAAGGCCTGCCATTGTCAGCCTCCTCATGTGATTCTCACCCTGTGTCTCTTCCAAGTGCCTCTACATGTGTCTCCTTCTATGTCTCCTTTCCAGCAGTACCAGGTGCAAGGAAAGCCACAGAAATAAGAACTCTCTTTCTTTCTTTTTTCCCTGAGCCTCTTGCCTTCCATGTTATATAGCTTCATCTGGTAGCTCAGATTTCACTTCATTAAGTGGGGACAGGGCACATAGTACCTCCCTCAACAAAATTGCTTTAATCGAAGATGTTCAGTTTATGATGGGGATTAGTATAGACTGTTTTGTGGACATAATAAGTAAGTTGTGGGGGTGGACAGGAATTATAAAAGGCTTCTAACAGATTCGCTGATAAAGGCATAATTGTGACTGAATAGAAGAGACAAAAAAATGAGCAGATCATGGCTCTAAAAATAGTTAAGGTTTTACTATGAAAAAAAACTTTGAAAAAAGCTATTAAGAGATAACTTATTTTCTTTTTTCAAGAAATCAGAGGAAACCCATTCTTCGCTTGTCCAGGACAATGATTTCCCCTTTACTACATTAAAATAAAAAATTGGAAAATAGTTATCAATGAATCAAAAAGAAAGTCCAGTTCTCCCCATATCCAGACCAAGGGGCATCAATGGCATTGGGATGGTTAATTCACTGTAAGTGGTTGCATATCTCAACATTTAAATAGTGAGCTCTTTAAATTGTACATGAACATAATTTATTCACATTTCTTTTGAGGAGCTGCAGAAAGGAATAAAGCAATGTGGGAGGAAAAGAAAGGGAAGGAATCGAGAAATTTAAGCAGGTTTAATTTTTGACTCTGCATGGTATCAAGGTCAACTGCCTATAACTCAAAACTCAGAGTAATTGTACAAGCCAAGACACAAAGTGCACCAGCAAGACAACTGCTGGGTGTGTAATCAATAAGCACTCAGGGAAGAGAACAAAGTTTATGAATGTTTAGCTATTTGATTAACTAGCAATGTGGCTTACTCAATATCATTTTAAGTAAGTTCAGAGAGGATTTTGAGAGGGGTTTGGCAAAAGTACTGCAGCAAGGAGAGGTCAGGGGAAGTTCTTCACACAGCATTTCCTCAATTGAAGATTTACTTCTCCACCCTTTCATTCTTCCTGTAACCAAGACCAAGTTCCCATCCCTTTCTGATACACTCACAAGTGCACACAGCTTTGTTGGGCATGTGGGAGGCACCGCTTAAATCTTAGCTGTCTCTTGGGCTTTTTGCTATAGTCCTGGATTTGCCCATATCCCAAGGCCCTTTGCCAAGACCTCCACAACCTACCTTGTCTCCATCCAAGTTCATTGCTACACACAGTGTCCACAAGGCCACCTTTGGCTATCTAAATGACATGCAGAATTGATGAGAAGTGTTTGCAAACCATGAGTAAAGTTCTACTCATAATCTACCCTTGAGAAATATGACTTTCTAAGATGTTGCTATATGCATGTGAACATAAAACAAGCTTGGATCTATCTTAGCAATTCAGATGAAGAAAATTTTAATGAGACTTATATTTACCCTCCTATACCGAGAACAATAACTTGAACAGAGTGGACCCCATTAACATTTTCTTATTGCAGTGTTCAGAAAAACAGTATCCTACATTGTTTCTGGGCAACAGAACAATTTTGACTACATGTAGCCTTTTCTGTACTTAGATGTGGGTAGACAAGTTACAAAAAAAGTATAGGGGGGAGGAATGTCACTGTAGAATTACAGTGGGGAACAGTGCACTGCTTGATTTATTTCATGTAGATTCTTTCCATGATATTTTTCTCTGAAAGTTACAAGCAGGAAATATATCAATCTGTCACTTAGGTTCTCTTCATAACCTAAGAGGAGAATAGCAGTCCCTGTGTATTTATCAAAATATATTCCTAGAGGCTTTCTGTTCATTCATCCTTTCATTTACTTAGGCCAGCATGTTGCTCAATACATTAGATGTATATCTGATGCTAATTCTTTATTTATAAGTTGCAAGGAAAGAAAATACAGTAACTTCAGAAGGAGATAATAACAAATTAAGTAACTATCAGTAATGATGGAGGCTCAATTACATAATTTTTAAAAACTACTATGCAATGTCAGAGCTCAATTTTAAAATAAATGTTATTAATCACTTTGATGATTGACACTAGAGAGACAGCAATATAGAGAGAGAGGTAGGGAAATTGGCATTCCTCTTGGGCTCATGAACTCAAGTTTATTTCATATTTACTATGCTTGTATACTACCAAAATTCATATGTTGACATCCTTACCCCAATGATGGTTATAGGAGCTTATAGGAGGTGGGGTCATTGGGAGGTAATCAGGACTAAATGAGGTCACCAGGGTGGAGGCCTCATGAATGGAATTAGTGCCCTTATCAGTCATGAAGTAGCTTGTTTCCTCTCTGTTCTGTCATGTGAGGCTACAATAAGGAGTCAGTTGAACACAGCAGGCTAATGACAGCAACAGGCTCACAGGGGATGAACTGTTTAATATTTGTAATTAAGGTTTCTGTACATGATTTAGGATACACACACATGCTGGTACAAATACAGTGTGTAGGGTGGAGTAAACTAAGAACTAATCTGTCTGAATCAAGCAGGAAGGGATAGGCAGGTGTTCTCATCCAAGACAGTCTACATGGCAAGATAACAAAAACCTGAAAGCAGAGACTAAGCCTGATTCATAACATCACATCTGACCAAAACAGAGAAGACTTTGTCAACTTTCCAACAACAGCAGCCAGAACAGTAAGCATAGCAGGTGCAACAGATATTACTGGACCATTTGTCCCAATTTTTTCTACCTGGAGAGTCAACCATATGTACAGATATCCCCTGTTTTTGAAAAGTTTGCATTGCACCACATCACCTTTACAAAATATCTGCATTAGTACCCATTTTTTGTGAACCAAAGAAAATCCAAAAAGGATTGTCATTTTACAATAAAGGTGAAAAGTCTTCTGTATTTGCTTGGCAGCAACTGTAATAGAAGCTTTGTGTACCCCCAAACAAAAGTTGTGCCCCAAGTTCCTTCCCCAGACAGGCCCTGGATGTATCATATCACTCCTACTTTTACCACACGTAACTATGATTTTTGGGTTTTATG